ATACTTTTCATATACTTAGTTGGGTAGCAACTACCAACAACTCTGGGGCTGATTTAATAACGCTTGTGTATTTTTTTTGTTATTATAATTTAATCTTATATTTTAAATATAAGTTGATCCCAATTGTTCCAGTTTTATCAATTTTACGCTGCATTTCATTCTTTTATTTTACCTTCAAATAAAACAGAGATAGAGACACTTAACAACTAATTTGCTACTTTACGAGTACTTCAAATTTGTTACATCGGAAATGCAATTGTCTTAATAGTGATTGCTCTTAAGACTTTGTTTCTTTCAATTATTAGCTAGAGTTGCTTTTCATTTTGTTTAAATAGTTTTTACACATATACAAAAACACCTAATATGTCGAGTGTTAATTTGATTGAAAACAGTTTGTATGTTTCATATATTTGTATATATATATATATATGTATGCAATGTGCTAATTTCATTTTCATTCGGCAATTACAATTCCAATTCTGCCAGCCCGTAAACAATCTCTACAGATATTGTGTGTCTACTGATCATGTTAGAGAGCGTGCATCCGATGTATTCTGTTTTCCTTTCATATATGCATGTATGTATCTGTGTATGTATGTATGTATGCATGTATCGGTGTAAATATGTATTTATGTATGTAGTTAATTGTTTGCTGTATATCATTTATTGGTTATATGTTGTTTTTGTCATTCTAATTTCTGAGAAACCTTAGCTGTTTCGAATATGTATTTACTGGCAATACGCATGCCTTCTATTTTCCCTTTTCAATTGCTTTGATGAATTGGAATACACGTAGTTAGTTTTTCTTTTTGCTGGTATTGAACCATTCGAGATAATGCCGCAACAAAATGGTATACGAATAAGTTATGTATTGTATGTATATGTATATGTATATGTATGTATGTATGTATGTATATAGTTATACCGTTTGTATTATGTTTTGCTTACACTGTCTGCGCACAAGGCTTTGAAAATCACTGAACTATATGGGAATCGAGCATTGGGCATTCCAATTCACCATATATAGTAGCATTAACAAATCCGCTTTTCTATGTCATCGTTCGTAGACCTAGCTTAAGTCCCAATGAGACCAGCTGAAAATTGCACACAAACATACGATTAATCTTGCAAATCAGACAACCTTCAAAAACAATTAATTTTTCTACTCTTGTTTCACACTGAATGTGAAACCCTTAAACCCCTCATTTCAACACTAGGAAATCGCTTAAATAACTGAAGCACATTAAAGTTTTGAAAATTGAATTCAATCTATTTAGTAAATGAAAATAGACGCGCTTAAGCTGAGAGCTGGCTACAATTTATCACTATCCTCTCTCCACTCGCTTTCTACCTATTCCTATATAAATTTTCTATATTTGCAAATAATAATATGTTTAGGTGCCAGTTTCAGCTAGTGGAATTGAGTATATTTCTGTTTTGCCTGCTCTATGGCAAATGACATGATTTTTCAGTTAAAGTTCTGTTTAACACTTTCTAACACCAATATTTAGTTAATAAGTTTTGCATATTTCATACTTCAACCCGAATTTACCGCTGTGGTTCCTAACACGTTTCCGTTTAATATGACTTCTAAATTAAAAATTCTCCTCGTATATTTTTCTCACTTTTCATGTTTTTTTTTCTTCTGGATATTAAATAAGAATATCTAAAATACCTTAATAATTATATTGGTTTTTGTTTTTTTTTCATTCCGTCTTCTTTTATGTATATGTATATAAATATGTTTTGTCCTACATTGTCTTTTAACAATAATTTTATAGCCATTCATCGTTCCTTATGTCAAGTGCCTTAAATGCTTTTGTTTTTCCACATATTGTGCAGAATTGTTTGTTTACGTTTTTTTCCGACATGTATTGTAAAATTGTGAGCAAATACATTCAAGTTGATTTGTAATTACACTGAGAGAAACATTTATGTGTGTTTGTGTTTATAATTGTGTGTGTATATTTTATATTGTTATATTGCTGACTAATTGTTTATATTTCCGGTTAATGTTTCGGGTTTCGGTGTTTTATTTTTGTTCAAATACTATTTGCAGCTACGTTTATTAAAATAAATTTACCATGTAAATATTTTTTTTTTTTGGTTTTTTGGTTTTTCATTTATTTTTTTATATATATTTTTTTTTCGCATTTAAATTTTCTTTATTATTTTCAAGTACTATAACGGGCAACTCTACACACTGGATGTTGTTGTTGTTATTTTGGTTGTTGAAACTCGAATAGCTTAGAGCAATCGTGGGTCAAATGTCGCTAAAAGGGATAAGTTCCTTATGGAAAGAGGCTAATGCATGTTCACACACATACACAAGATTGTATATTTAACTAAATATTTATACACACACACACATTGCGGGCTGTGGTGTAGCACGCAATGCGGCAAGGCAAAGAAGCAGGGAAAATTGAGAGGAAATGTTGAGAGAAACGCGGTGGAAAGGTAGAAAAACTCACATGCCATATCGTTTACACAACGCTGTGTTATTGTTGGTAGTGTTTTTGTGTGTAAGTATGTGGGGCAAGAAGAAATTTGCTTGGTTTGGTTTTTAAGGCACCATTAAAATTGCTTTTCTTACACGTATTTTTCCTTTGCAAATTTACAAGTTTTCAACAAATTGTTTTAATAATTTACATACAAATACACAATATTTAGTAAAAATTCAATTGAAATTGTTTTTGTGGTTTTTGTTTTTTCTTTTGAGCTATTTTAAATGTAGTTTCTTTATACATACACATGCACATAATTAATTTATCCCTTTTGGTTTTATTTATGTTACAAATAGTCCCAACACTATCCGCTGTCAACCCGTCAACGTGCGTTCTTTTCATTATTTTCTTCCTTTTTCTTTTTTTTTTGTTGTTTTGGTTTTTTTTATTATTTAGTTGGTTGTAACTTGCGCAAAAAATTTACTAAATATTTCAAATACAATTAAATACAAGTGTACATAATAATTTATTTAATATATGTATATTTATATATAGATATATATATATATATATATATATATATATATATATATAATTTGTTTATATATAGATATACGGATTTACTTCCATTTAACGTTCATTCTTTGTTTGTTTTCATCCCTTCTGGTTTCAAAAATGATTGCTTCAAATTGTCATCAGCGAAATATTTGTCACTAAAATCACGAAATAGTTTCGCTTGATATTTTGCTGCCTGTGTTGCACATTTTGCTTGATCCTCATTTTTTTGTTTTTGTTTTTGTTCTTGTTTCTGTTTTTTTTTTTCATTTTAGCGTTAATTTTTATTCAATTATTATTAGAGAGTGTGTCTAAGTTAACAGTAATGCATTTATCATTATTATAATTGATTTTTTATACTATTAACAATTTCCTGTAATCAAGTTTTGCTTCATAAGTGTTTTTATTATTATTATTATTATTCTTATTATTATCATTATGCAAGACAGTAAATAAAGGAAAATAACAAATGTGAATCTTTTATTTGGTGGCAACTAAGACTACTACAGTTTTGAAAATCTTCCAATGTCCACCGACCCTTTGTCAACATTTGTTCTACCAGAACTGTTGTAAATAAATATATAATTGTATATTTCAATTAAATAATATATGCATTTTTGGGATATGTTTACCATTATATGTTTTGTAGTTTTGAGTACTTTAACTTGCTGATGATTACAATAATAGGGTTGCATTTAAATTGGTTTATTTTTGTTGTGGATATGTTTGGGTAATTTCTTTTGTAAATGTCTCTTATTGTATAATTAATTTGTATAATCAAAATTTGACACATATTGCCGACTGTATGCGAGCTGAGCTGCCTGCACACAAAGTATTAGCAACAAATTCCTTAACTATCTTACGGATTGATATCTCGGCTGGAGCCTAACCTAACACATATTAAAATTTGTCTTTATTTGTATTCTGCTCCTACAGTTGTATCTGTGTGTGTGTGTTTCGTGTGTTGTGTGTGTGTGTGTGCTTTGTAACTACAGTTTGTTAGTGTTAGTGTGTAACTACATGTTGTTACTATTGTGGCTTTATATTTAATTTACTTATTTTTTTTAACAAGCCACAGTTATTTTTTTGCTTCTTGCTGCCCAGCCTAAAACTAAATTTAAAATAAAATTAATTTAAGTTTGTAAGTTTAACATTGAAAATCTTTTTATTTTTGATGTTTTGTTGTTTTGCGTATAAATTTAACAGCTAAGAAAATAAAATTATACTTTAATTTAAGCATTATTGCAATATTAAATAAAATTAAATCCATTTTTCTCATTTTCCACGCAATAGAAAGTCTTTTTTAACGCCGCAAATGTGCTTAAATATTATTATTGTAATTTGAATTTTGTCACTTAGCTTAACATTTTTGCTAAAAACCAAAAACATTGCAAAAAGTTTATCTAACAAAAATAAATTTGGCTTCAAATGTTACGATCAGTTGTTGTTCTTGTTTTTGTTCTTGTTTTTGTTTTTGTTCTCGTTTAACAAATTATAACTAATTTCGAAAATTTAAAAATCAAGTCGTATTTAATTTAATTTAATTAGATCATAGTTATTATGTAGTTTAATCAATAAACAGAATTAATTTTGTCCTTCAGTCTAAACATATTCAAAAATCACAAATACAATTTCGATAACAATTACAATAATAAAAATAATAAAATTAAAAATTATTATATCAATTAATATATATGTTTGTGTACCGCCATATTTATATGTATGTTTTGTTTGTTTTGTTTGTTTGTTTGTTTGTATGCATATAAATATAAATTTAAACATAAACAACAAACACAACATTTTCGTCGCCTAACAAAGTGGAAATTAACTGTTCGTATCTTTGTTTAATTAAACTGTTTGTCTCTGTCTCTTTGCTTTGCTTGCTGTCTGGCCTGGCTTGGCTTGGTTTAATATTATTTATTTATATGCCGTTGTTAATTTTGTGTTTGTTTGTTTTTTAATGCCTTAACTTGATGTACTTTATTTTATTTATTTGTTTTGTTTTGTTTTTTTTTGTTTTTTATTTTTTTGTTTTTTTGGTTATGCGCATGCACAATTGCTTGGCTTAAAATTTAACTGCATTTCGAAATTTTCATTTACTTTGCTGTATTGTTGGTTAATATTATTGTTTTTAGTTTTTTGCTTGTTTTGTTTTCTGCTTTGTTGCATTTGTCTTCATTTTGACTAAGCTTACAATTAATTGCTGTTCTGTTCTTACGGTGAGGGAGCGCATACATTGAAGTAGCGCACCCGAAAACGGTTTTAACATAAAGTTCATTTATTTTCTCTGGTTTTTTGTTTTTGTTTTCGTTTTTGTTTTTCCTTTTAAACTTAATAAAAAATATCATAATTAATAAGAATCAATGAATAAATATAACGTGTATGTATTCTTACATGTCTGTGTGTGAACGTTGTGTATATGACGTCTACATATGCCTTATGCTCATCTTCTTGTGATTTGACCTTGTCATATGATTTGTTTGCTTTCTGTGTTTATGCTTTTCTTTACTCTTTACTCTTTACTCCTCACTTATTGCTTATAACTTAACATTTGACGATCAATCGATCATACTATCTGTTATCTGCTATCTGTTGTCAGTTGATACAGTTTATCGGCTCCAGTCCCTCGCTGCATTCGATTTGTTCATGTTGATGTTGTTGCTGTTGCTGTTGTTGCTTTTGCTTTTGCTGTTTGTTGCTGTTGTTTGTTGTTTGCAGTTTGCTGTTCGTTTTTTACTTTGTTCTTTGTTGTAGTTGCACTTAGTGTATGGGCGTTTTAACAATTGCACTTGGTGCGATATAATGATAACCAGGTATGGGCAGTCCAGCGGTCTCCATTGATATTCTGCAAAGTTGAAATACGAAAAACACGATTTAGTTCAGTTCTGATTCAAGTTTAACGACAAATTGGCAATGTGAATTTTATTAATGCAAATTGAGTTATATTTTTTGCCCTGGCTGTGTTTTAGTTCTACGACAGGTCTTGGGTAGCCTAGATCCTTTTAAATCTTAAATACTGAATGTGTTTTCAAGTTTATAAAAAAAAAAAAAAATTTCCTCGATTTTTTTTTTCTCAGATGTATACATTTAAATCAAACGATAATGGGCTATAAGCTAGAATAAAATGTTGTTTTAGTATCGTTTTATTTTTGTGGTATTTCTTCACTTTATTACAAACGCAGTTTTCATTATAATTTTGTTTGATTGCATATAAATATGTTTGCTTGTTTGTTGATCTGCTTGTAGGCGCAGCTAAGAATCGCGACTAAAGGTAAAAAGCGATTCTTTTACAATTGGTAATTGTTCTCAGTGTGTCTATTAATGTAAAGTAATAAGTAGTACATACATTCATTACAAGAATTCTTTAGAGTTATGCTTGTCTCAATCTACGTTGTATAAATTTAGCATATACGAGTATGTATTGTAAGTATATGTATGTATGTATGTTCGTATGTACGCATGTATGTATGTATGTATGTATATGATTTGGTTATAAAATCGTAAGCCCGCTTAGCTTAACTAACTAAAACTATTACAATGTGTGTCATTTGCCTTAAGAAATAATACAAATTCTTAGCCGTATGTATTGTGTAAAGAGGAGAGAAATTTCAATTTCCAAATACTTTTCTTTTTCAACAATGTTTTTTTTTTACCAATTCAAAAATAGTTTGGTTTTATTTGTTTCGCTTGGTTATACAATACAAAATAATAACAAATGTACAATCGTTAATAATAAATACAATACAATAATTTAGAAAATAGTAAATTAATAGGGTACAACTAATCCAATTATGATTTAAAAACAATTCATGACTTCAAGTCGAATACATAATAACGATTTTGCTCCTTGCTTAACAACATATCGTACATCTCCACATTCGCGTACAAACATGTTATGTTCTACACACTATTTAGTTATGTAAGTTTCTCTTTCTCTCTTTGCCTTCAGTTGGCTTTTTATTAATGTTTATTTCTGGTTCCTTATTTAATTCTTTTTTTTTCACTTTTTTTTTTGTATCTTTTTATTTTTTGTTTTCTTTTGTACGCTCATTTGCGTGGATTGTGTCAATTAGAGCGAATTGGTCCATAAAAGTCGTTGTGCCAAATTCTTTTGAGCACAATGCATTGGAATTTCCTTTTGTATCTTAATTTCCTTTCAACTTCTTTAAGAAGTATTTTTTTTGTTTTTTTGTTTTTTTTTTTTTGTTGTTTACTCGACACATGGCTGAGGGGAGGCCTTTATACTTAGAGGATAGAGCGTAAAATACATTTAGTGCTTATTCGCTAATTAGAGGAAATATGATCGATTACTAGTAAGGTAAGGTAAGGGGTTAGATGATGTTATAATATGTTACAGTGAATGTGTGGGGGAGGGGGGGGGTGCTTAATTAAATTATTTTTGTATACACGTATTTAGTATACAGCTACATGGTATATCGGTATTCGATAGTAAGCAATTCACAAACTATACTTGCTACGTTCACTCTCTCTTTCCAAGGATGCGCTAAAATTTGGCAAATTCTATAATGTACGATAGTTGTGTGTGTTAATGTAACTTTAAAAAGGGATAAGGGCAAAAATCTACAACATCTACTAGGAGAAGGGTCCTTATGCTGCGTTTCACTTGGTCAAAGTTTGATTACAATACTTGGGCAAATTCCATGTTTGATTTCTCTTTTTTCCCCTTTTTTCTCTTTTCTTGCTATATTCGATACTCAATATTATTCAAGTGCTTCAAGTCTGATCCAATTCAATTCGGTATATGTATCTACGTACGTTTATAATGGATCTCGTCTTGGACAGTCTGCCATAGTTATCTTTTTTTTATTTACTTTCTTTTTCCAAAATCATAGACATTGCTGCATTTAAAAACATAAGCAATATTATCTCAGCTATAAACTAATTTGGATACTGTTGTCTGTTGCAATTAGCAGCAACTGGGCTTTCAACTTGTTTGTGTAAAAATTGTCTTCAAATTTCAAATACTTTTACAAATTTTACACTTAAGAACTTATTTTTTTTAAACTTTTTTTTTCTGTTTTTTTTTTTTTTTTTTTTGTGAATAGAGCATTATTCTTGAAGAATCGTAAACTCTAAAGCTGTCGCAACGGTATAAACTTGTTAACAACTAGAAAAAGCTACTTCTAACTCGACTATAAGCAAATGATGATCTCTTTTTTTTCTTGGGTATACTTTTGCGCCGTCTGTTCTGCAGATATGTGGCGTGCCCCTAGTACGGGTTAAACTTGTTGCGCGCCTTCTCCGATTCGCCACCAGTCTCGGTCTGATGTTGCCGGAAACGCGATGTTGCATAGTGGCCCTTGGCACGATTCACGCCCGTTGTCTGCACTGGCGGTCCGCCGGGTGTGCTGTTCCCATTGTTGCCCAACGACGTGAGGCTGAGCAAGTCCAGTGCGCTCAGATTGGATAGGGCGGTGATCGCGCCTGGTTTGGTCAACAGTTGTAGGGCCGAAGCCAATGGGCTGCCGCCCAAAGCAGCAGCTCCAGCTCCTGTCGAATTGATGGCCAGAGTGGAGGAGCCATTGCTGCTGCTGTTGCCGTTGTGGTTGCTGCTGCTGCTGTTGCTCTGGCTGCCGCCATTGGTGGCATAGTTGGTGGCGCTGCTGCTGCCATTGCTGCTGGCCGAGCTGCTGCTGTTGTTGCTGCTGGTGCTGCAGTTGCCAGTGAGCGACACCGTCAAACAGCTGCTGCCATTCACACCACTGCCACCAGCAGCAGCAGCTGCCGCTGCTGCCACTGCTGCTGTTGTGGCACCACCGGCAACACCACCAACAGTTGATATGGCTGCAGTGCCATTTTGAGCTGCCTGATCCTGAAGATTGGCCTTCTGCAGTTCAACGCTGTGGATGAGGTACACAGAGAGATAGATAGAGACAGAAAGAAAGAGAAAGGAACTTATGGGATATTGATTTTTTTCTTTTCTTTTTTTTTTTGCTCTTAGGTATTTTTTTTTTAAACATTTGTTTGTATTTTTTTTTTTTTTTTTTGGTTTTGTGATTTTGTGGAATTGAGTTGGTCATTTCTTTTTGAATTGCTTTAGTGTTTTGTTATGCAAAAAAGGTTAAGGAGGTGTTTGTGTGGAGGAACGGTACGGAGTAAACGGATAGATAGCAAAGTTCTGGAGAGAACTTTTGGGCGCAATGTTTGGTTTGTTGTTTATTGGTGGGAGCGTCGTTCAAAATTTGATTTTTTTTTTTTATTTTTTGGATGGTAGGAGTAGAAATCTTATTGATTTTCTAGTTGTTGGACTTGACCGAAACAGTTTTGAAAAGTTTCTAGGGATTGAACTTTTGTTGTTGTTGGGATATTTGGTTAAGTTTAGTTTTGTTGCGGGTTGGGGAGAGAGGAGCATAGTTTTTATTTGGAATTTATTTTTTGTTGATTTTTTTTTTGTATTTTTTTTATTGATGACAAGTTGAACTGCAGTTTCTTGTGAAGTACCAATTGTTTCAGTTTCAGTTTCAGTTCCAGTTGCGTATTTTTTGCTCGTGTGTGCGAGAGTGCGACGCGTGACGTAGTTTTAGTTGGTGCTGTCCATTTTGCTCCTGCTCCTCCTCCTCCAAAATGCCTGCTGAGCTGAGACTTTTGTATATTTGGACATATACAAGCATAGGTAGTAGTAGACTAGAAGCTAGGTTTATATATTTATATATAGAATTAATTATAGATGTATAATGCTAGAGTTAAGAGTTTGCTGGTGCTAAGTTGTCTCTATATGCATGAAAAAGTGCTTTACATTTCAGTACGTTTCAGAACTACATATGAAAAAAGCATTTCATTGCTAAATGCGGGCTAGCGACTTATACACTAGACAAGAGCTTGATCTTAAGCTTAAAATTACAAGTTCCAAGTATCAAGTATCAAGTATCAACTTTTAAGTTTTTCTTTTGAACGCGCTGGGCCCAGACTCAAATAACGATAAACGAGTGCTTAAATGTACTGAGAGACCGATACGACCGACGACCAACGACCGACGACCTCCTTAGACCTTCTTTCTTACTTTGTCAATTTGCAAATCAATTCGACAAAATTTGTTAGACAACACATATACACGCACATACACACACACACACGTACACACATGCACACACACACTCAGATAAATATAGATAGTGTTTGGCGACTCACCTCATGTTGATTAAGTATTGGGCCAATGCCACCGAATCCGGATTGCCACTGATGGTGATGGTGCGATCAGTGTTGCCGCCCTCGCGCTCCTCGCAGTTGGAGATGCGTATCATGGCGCCGGAGATCTGACGTATTTCCGCTATTTTGGTGCCGCCCTTGCCAATGATGCAGCCAATCAAATCATTCGATACTGTCATCTCGTGCTGCTGCTGCTGTGCCCGATTCGCATTGGCCGTACGCAGCTGTGACCCTGCCAAGGCAGCCAGAGCTGTAAATGGGCCCAGGTCAAAACATCGATTTTTAGTACATGCATATATAGATTTCTCTGCATAATCCCCCACAAACACACACAGAGAGAGTGAGAGAGAGAGAGTTGAGGGACTTACCTGTGTGATTTATGCCACCAGTGCTGGCTGGCGTCATGCCGGCAAGGCCCAAGGCGGCCAAACTGGCCAATGGATTCTTAGAAACCTGTTGAAACATTGAGCAACATTGAGATTAACAATTTATTTATATTGATAATGTATATTTAGTTGTTGTTATTGTGATTATGTTCTCGAGAGAAGGTAAGTAGTACATGGGCACATATTAGTCATTCAGTCATTAGAGTCTGTCAAGTCTGGTTTGGATTTGGAATACATATAAGTACAAGTAGACATATATATTATAATCATTTTATTTTCGGATAGGATGGGATATTACAACACAACGCGCGTACAGTTTTCAAGAAAGAATATAACGCAGAAGGATCGAATTAAAAATAGAAATGAAACCAACAATCAACTCTCAAATGGCAAACATAACAAACACAAAGCCTTAAAATTAGTACATAAAAAATAGAAAATACAAGAAGCGAAGCGAAAACAAAAATAATTTTGCTTGAATAACAGACAAACAAATTTATTCACATTTTGTACAGGTTAGAAAAATACATGAATACAAAATGCGTTTGTGTGTTAGTGTGTGTGTGTGTGTGTGTGTGTGTGTGTGTGTGTGTGTGTGTGTGTATAGAATTGACTCATGAAAGTGAACAAGTGTATTTTGTGGTATTTATGCTGGTGTTTGTATTGGCAATTGAGACAACAATTGATTGTTGTTTTGCCGTTTGTGTCCTTCTGTCTACGAGTCTACTTTGAAATTACTTTTAGATTAACATAAAGTTGTATACATATATCTGTGTAAGGAATATTTCATTCATTTAGCAACTATACATTGAGAATAAAATTACAATTATAATGAAGAGTTAAAGCTTTAAGGGATCTCTTTTGGCGTTTCAGGGAATTATGAACATGATGTAAATGTGAGTACATATTTGGTATATTGGGAAATCCGTTCGACAATTAACTCCTCATCTAACACTATCTTGGTAATCAAAGAGAAAGGGTCTATCAAGTGGTAGGCAGTGTGTAATTCAAATTGTTGGCTTCAACCGGTGGGCAACTAATTTGTCTTGGCTTAAACTGATTCATGTGTAATTGTCAACATTTAGTCTGCTTTAAAGCCGTCATTCTTGCAAATGTGATTGTTAAATATGTACGCAAATTGATATTTTTACATTTTGCTATGCTGCTCTCATTCTCATTCAAGTTATATTTAAATCAGTCACCAATATATGCAAAGAATCCTGTCCCTGTCTCTAACCCAAAAAGAGTTTTTTGTCCGATTCAAGGACTTGCATATTCATAGCGATTGAAAGTTTTTCACCCACAACACCTACAGCAAAATACACACACGCATATATACATCACAGTCACATACATATATGTATATGTATATATATATATGTATGTGCACATGTATATGCATTATGCAAAAGCTATCAAAACATGGGGAAAGGGGGAAAGAGGAGGGAGAAGTATAAAATCGTTGGAAACCCGGTCATATACTTTATTAATTAATCAAATCGAATGAAATATTTGCAAATAACTTTTGAACGAGTGTTGCACACACACACACATATATACACACATATATATATATATATATACACACACACATATATATATGAGATGAGGGACAAAAATATAATATTAAATTTGAATGTGTGCGTGTAGAGCATCTGTGTGTGAGAGTTTTCTATTTTGTTTGTTTTGTTTTTTGATTTTTTGTAGAACTTGAAATCAAATATTTATCCAGTTGATAAATAAATAAACATGCGCTCTGCTTTGCGTATGAAAACATATATGTCTTTCTCTATGCAGTTCGCTGGCAAATGGAAATGAAACTTGCAACTCAATAACAATTGGGGAGGATGGGGTTGGTGGGGCACGACGAATGTTCAACAAACACAAACTCGTCATAGAAAGTCGTGTTTTGGGCATATTAAATAAACATATCTTGGGGTATACACACAACAGCAAGTTGAAACAATTCACAAATTATATGCTGCAACTTCGCGACATAAAAATGCTTTTGATGGGTTTTTCCAGTTTTCTGGTTTTCCACAGAGATGCCGGATTTTTGGTCTGTGGCTTAACAGAAGAAAAATAAAGAGAAACAATAACAAGACAAACACACACAAACACACAGAACAAAAATGGCAACAACTTTGTGGTCCAGCAGTTGCTTGGGGAACAAGGTGACGTTAATGTTATTGAAATGTGGCCCGACCACAGTTGCAACGTGGGGATCGTAAAAGAAATGCCAGAGGTAGTAAAGGTAACTACTGCAAGAACACAAACTACAAAACACAGACAGATATATTGGATGGGGTGGGGGTGGTAACAACGACAGGAGAAACGACTACGGGTGGCTGGCTGGGGGATATTGCGATACGAGTACGAGTAACAACAAACAGCAATGCACAAATACAACTAGCTTGGGGTACGGGGGGTGGAGCAAACAGTGGCGGGGTGGAGTGGGGGTTGGAGTGGCGTCGGTCAATGGATTCATACGGCTAGAGCTACAGGGTTGCGTTCAAATACAGCAACACATGCCAAAAAGAATCAAATGCTGTCTCGGGTCTTAGGCTCGACTTGTGGAGGATTTCTTTTTTTGTTTTTTGTGTTTCTGATGATTTTTGATTGGTATTTATTATTTTTGTGTTTAAATTTTCTTTTTGTTTTTTTTTTTTTTTGTGGATCAATTAAAACTCACATCGGGCATTTGCTGTAGGTGATGGTGGTGTGCTGGTACCGCTCCTTGTAAATGTGCCCCCTTTAACAAAGGATCCGCTAAGCCTGAAATACCAGCATGTAGACCACCGGTAGCCAAGGCCAGTGGAAATACTGGACAAGTCTAATAGATTTTTTTTTCGTTTTTATTTTTATTTTTTATTGTTGTTTGTAAGGTTTGGTATTAATTTTTGATTGTTTTGTGATTATGGGAATTTAATTGTTTTTTTTTTTTTTATTTTGATTGATTGTTGTTTTGCAAAAGTTTCCAAAGAAGAAAAAAGTAGAAGAACAAAAATGATTTACCAAAAATAAATTTTGAGCTAGATAATTTGTATATAATTGAAATAGTAAGCTTATTAAATATACATTTCGCTATAGTATTATTCGATTGGAAGCTTGCATATAGTTATCGATCGATCGGGACGTCGAAAAAGCTTTTGCAGGAAGCGAGAGAGAGATAGAGAAAAAAAAACAAAGTGTGCAGAGTTTTTGTGTAATAAACGAGGCTGACTGACGAGGCTGGATTTTGATAAATGATATGTGGTAATAACAACTAAGAGAACGAACTGACTACGGAAAGGGCAAAAGATTGAGGTCTTGGATAATGGGTACCAATGCACTTGTGGATGGGAACGATGGGTACACAAACCAAGGTTACAGACTACAAAAATACTTTGGAGAGAAGGTCAACAAGACTAGCGCATAGCCACAGATACAGAGACATAGTTATCAAACGGTACCCAAATTGTACGCAGTCTTGTAAATCTTCAAATAGCAGTTATCCGCAATCCCCATCAATTAGGATATTTTGGTGGAAATGTAGCCAATTGCACACAAAGTGTACCTAATTGACAACTGACAACTGGTGGATATAGCGACAAGTGATTGGGGTTTATTCATTATACACTGCACGCCGCATTATGCTTTAAACCAACACCGACAATAACCAGGGACTGATGTGTGAGAGAGAGAGAAAGGAAGAAAGAGAGAGAGAGAGAGAGAAGAGCTTGTTTTGTTCTCATTGGGAAGAAGAGCGCAATTGATGTTATAACTATTTTGAATTATGGTTTTTGTTTGCGGACATTAATTGAATTTGATGTGACAACATAAACTTTTGGTATAGTTTTCAAAACTTTTGTTTGGAGCGAAATGGCTGGCAGGGGCTTAAAGGACTATTTGTTGTTATTGTAGTATATATTTTGATATTCTTGTGCAGATTGTCTATGTATTTATATACGATTATAAACGGACAGAGTAGAGTAGATGTGAGGGCTCGGGCAGGACGATATTTTGAACAGTATGTTGTTGCAGTTGCTAATTGCATTATTGTTGTTGTTTCTGTTATTGTTATTGTTATTGTTGTTGCTGTTGTTCTTGTTGTTATTGCTGTTGTTATATGGTAAATGGTGGGTAATATACGATTACACATACATACATACATACACATCTGTATATATACATATGTAGGCAGGTATGACTTATCTAAAGTATCTGAATTTCTGTTGATTTTTGTTGTTGATGTTGCTGCTGCTGTTGTTGCTGTTGTCGTTGTTGTTGATGGATTTGTTGTTTGGCAAATGAACAAAACATTTCAAAGTCTATTGCAAGTATATACTACACAAAATGAAGAGTATTAAGTATATGTACCAATAAACGTTGGATAGATCAATGGCAGAGTTGTTGCTGTTTGTTGCTGTTGTTTTTTGTTTAATCGAGGGCTGTTTTTAATATTTAATATTTAATATCGAGTACAATTAGTTTCTGTTTGTGGATATTTTTGGTGGCACTCAAAAGGAGTTTAAGTCGGTTGTTTGGTTGTTTGTTGTGTGTTGTTCATGAGAGGTATAAATTATTTTTGGATTATATTATAGAGCTAGTGTTGTAGTTAAACATACTTCTCCACACGCTGCACGCGAGCCCTCGGTTCGATTAAAACAGAGAGATGAGAGAAGGCCCTTTTATGTGGAGTGACAGAGTAGCAAAGCCCCCGCACAAACTCACTCGACTCGCTTTATTATTCGGTGAGCAGCCGCGCAATGTAGAACCCTAATGCAAACGATCCCAAAAGTGCGACCGCCCCCAAAAACAGACACGACGCACTGGACGAAAGCCAGACTGAGAGAGAGTCAGAGTCAGAGGGAGAGAGAGAGCACTCACTCTTGTATGACAAGCTCTTAACCTGAGAGAAAAGAGTACGAAAGAAACTATAAAAAAAAACACAAAACAAAAAAATATGTAAGAATTTTATTTTAAAATATTGTAAATATATATTTGTATTTGATCAATCAATTAGTTGCTTTTCTGTAAATGATTAACATTAGTTGTTTGCTTTTGGGGTTGGGCCACCTTTTGGACATTTGAAAACGGGCTGGGTTGGTTCAACGGTACAAGATATATATGAAGTATGAGCGCAAAGAAACGGTAAAAGACTTGGTGGTAAGTGGAGAAGAAGCTGCAACAGCTAGGCCCAATGCACAATAGGCAAACTGAACCTAACTGAAGGCGGCTCTTTGGGGCATTTCAAAACTTCAAAAAGGGGTCACAAGTCGGTTCGGCTCTAGACAATTGTCAAGGTTCAAAGAGGGTTTGATAATTGTGGTTGTGGATTACATAGATAGAGAAAGAGGAGAGATAGAGATAGATAGAGAGAGATAGATAGAGAGAGAGAGAGAGAGAGAGAGAGAGAGAGAGGGAGAGATACAGAGAAAGAGCGAGGTGCAAATCATAACTGGATAATTCTAAACGAGCAGTGGATATAATTTTAATTAGAGTGGATACACAAAACTAAAGACTCATATTTTATTTAGGCATTTATACACACAGATAGGCAGATAGGCAGATAGAGAAGTGACATAAAACTCAAGAAGTTAAATGATCAATAAACTTGTTATAAGAAGTAGAGGCAAACAGGATGTAGCTAGACGCGCATAGAGGTAGTAAACCAAAATAAATAATAAAATTATTATTATTATAGGCAAAATCATATAGTATAAACAACCAAGTGTTATTTAGCTTATGTAAATGGTAAACAAAATAAGGTAAAATAAATGATAATGTAATTGCAGAACGATGTTTTGGGGATGGGTTAAAAAAGAAGAGATAGAAATTGAGAGAAAGATCCGACAGTAACTAGATATATGTATAAATGCGGCGTTATACATGATCTTTCAATTGACGTTTTATAACACACACTGCTTATGCTTAGACTTAGACTAGACATACATATACAATTTGCACACACTGTACACGTACCTCTTGTGTGGGCACCGCATAGTTGCCCTGTATGGTAAAGGCCTGTCCATTGGCCAAGATGACTGGCCCAGTTACTTGCGGCTTTGGTCGATATGGTATGGTAGCACCGCGTGGCGGAGACTGTATAAGACAAAACACTCATTAGTTATGCATTTAATATGAAAGATGCATTAAAAAGTAAACAGAACTGGAACAAGTTGAGCTCATTTGGAATTGTAAAATATGAGACAGTATATGCAAATATTTAAATTAGCTCATAAATTAGATGTACTCTCTAGAGTGCCCTAGACTGCCTTTAGACGGGCTAAGTGTATTTTCTCGCTTATTCGCTTAGCTTGTAAAACCTTCAAAAATATCTTTTTGTTGCATGCATTTTTATTTTGACGGGAAACATTTTTTTTCAACGACTGCGACTACATTTAGTATAATTTTTTATTATTTTAAAGTTCACACTACTTTTAAAATAATTATTATTTGCGATTTTCACAAATTTTGAACTAGAGCAACATTTACAATTTTTGGCATTTTTCAATTTAGACAAACAATATAAAAATTCGAAAAAACGGAAAATTTAAAGCGAAAAAGCACGAAAACTAAACTAAGGCTGTTTAAATGTTGGCCATTATTTGTATGTCTCTAACTAAAAATAGCTGGCTCCAAAAACGTTGACTGTTTACTTTTGAATGCAATATGTTGATTTCAATAGACAGACTGTGTTTACCTCCAACATGACAAGACATATCTGATAGATACATTGGGTGATCTGCTCAGCGCTGCCACTCAAGGTAACTGCACGCTCCGTGGAGTTTGGCAACATTTCGCTGGCCACTTGTATGGAGCAGCCTGTATTTTGGCGTATTTCCTTAATCTTTGAGCCACTCTTGCCTGTCGAATGCAAAAGAATCGAATTAGATATATTGAAAGAGCAGGTTAATGAGTTTTCTACAGATTTCGTCTAGCTATTTATTATTATTTGGCTTGTGTACACACCAATTAACGATCCACATTGACTGGCCGGCACAATCAATCGAATGGGTATTTGAGTTTTACCAACTTTGCCAACATCATTGAACTGCGAGCACCACTGAAACGGGTTTCAAGTTAGTAATGTGAAGCGTGATCTAATTCAACAATTGAGAATTGAGTACAATCAACACCAGAGCTTTTAGTTCTCGAGCCAAGACTTTCTCTTGTCTGGCAAATGGAGTGCTATTGTTTTCTTATTTATGCGTACTCGATTGTGTTTTTGTTTTTATGTTTATTTGTATTTGAATTTTTGTTTTTTTTTTGTTGTATTTTTTTTTTTTGTATCAATTATTGTGTTATGCAACCTTGCTTGGACTCGCATCCGTTTCGATCTAGCGCACACATACCTCTTCAAATTTCTTTGTAATTAGCGTAAATGCCGCGAAGATTGCGCTTGTTGTGCCAGATACCGTTACAATGCGTTCCGGGCATGAGCCATCCGAAATGTTAATTTTGGCACCAGACTGTAAAGATTTAAAGGCGCATAATTACATATGTACATATGTACAACATTCCGAACATGTATGTAGCTTGTAAGCAATTTGTGTACTTACCTCTTCACGAAATCTGTTGACAATTTCACCCTTTTTCCCAATAATACTACCAACTTCCTGTAAAGACACAACAAGATAAATTCCTTTTAATTAGTGTCATCCATTTGAATAATAATTATGAAACAAAAAAATATAGTTTTGTATGTGTGCCTTTTTTCCTTTGCATGCAAGCTGAAATTGATCTGCAGCGATCTAAACTTAGACAATGAGTTTCAATACAATATTTTATTTTTCGTAAACAGCAAAAAGTTTTCAAATACAGTCGAAATGATGTTCTGCCCACCACAAATTGATTTCAAGTACGTGACTTTTTCGCTATTCACAGCTAATAATAAAAGTTTGACTGTGATTTTCAAAACTATCAAAATGAGTCATCAAAATATAGTATGGTTAAGAAAAACAATGGTTTCATTGAAATATAGGAATAAAAGAATATTTATGTATAATTTTACCCATAAAGAGCGTCTGGCATTCTAGCAAAATATATCGTTCTAATTGCATCCGTTTTCAGCTTTCTTTCTGCCATTTACAAGCGTCGCCATAGATGTGCAAATTCGATTAAATATTAAGTGATTTTGTGCCATATGTGTGTATAACTACTTTTGCATATTTAAGTGACACAGAAAGCGATTCATTCAAACATTCAAACCAAAACCAGAGCCAACCAAAAACCCCCCTTTTTGACACAAGCCGCATGAATATTTTGTAATGAAATTTGCGGGCAACGCGTTTTATGCGTTTTAATTGATGGTAAATATCTACATGGAGGAAAATACATACAAAATTATTTATATGTATGTATGCTTGTATGTGTGCACATTTATAATTGGCAGTCCTGCAAAACGATAGACACAATTTGAGATACTCACTAAAACTTGAACAAGTTTCGCGAAGCAGCAAATCAATAAAAAAAACTATTCAGATAAATAAATCACATTAATTACACAGCAGCTGACAGCAGCACTCAACTTGTGTCTGTTAGAATGTGATGAAATTTCAGTTTTGGCAAGATTCTTTTGCAGAATGTTCGTTTTTTATGTTGTGCAATCGAAAACTGCGTTTTGTTGGCGGCATTCAATAAAAAAACTGCATTTTACGCAGAATTTGTACCTCTAAACGAAGAAATATCGAGAAAAAGAGCCTAGCTTAGGGCAACCAATAAAAATGCCCACGCCTAATTAATCCCATTTTAGACTGTTCAATAACGGATTATAAATTTATAATTCTACAAATTAAACGTAAACATTTCAAGGATATCGAATACTTATCACAGTTGTGTATTGTTTATGAATAGGTACTAAATATTGTAATTTTGTAAGCTAAAATATGATTGTACAAACTACAACATTTGTGATTGACTATATATTTAGATATTTATTTTGTTATTTAAATATTTAAACCTTTTTGTATCGGAGCCTTCGTCATTAATGATTTCATTAGTGGAAAATGAACTGTTACCGGAATCGGTAATAATTTTAAAGCTTGACATTTCTGAATTTAGTACAAAAATGTTTTGTAACCTTCGCGAAGTGCACTTCTCGTGCCTGTCGCCATGTTTATCTTTCTAAATACCCATCCATTGTCACACACACACACACACACACACACACAGAGACAATGCAAGGTGTATAGAATTTTGGGCATTTTGCCAGTCTGTCACAAAGTGCAGAACCGTACAAAACAATATTAGTTTAAAATGGTACATCATCCTCTAAACCAGTGTAAAAATATTACGTGTCTCTGTCTCTACTGGGTTTTTGGGTTTTTGTCTGCTTCTGTGAGTCGATTGTGCATTATGGGTCATTTTCTATTATATTTATGGTGATGGTGCCCGATCTAAATGGCCGAAATATTTATTACACACAAATGTCAGAAGGAATTGCCATAATTATTAGCAAGAGCACGGTCTACGCGTCTATGAATTGCGTTCTTATGCCTGTCTGCGCCCAAGACAAATTTTGACAGCGCTCCATAATTTATATGAGCTCTCTCTCCCCCTTTCTCTCTATCTCTCTCTGTCTCTCTGGCATAAGTACTTAGGGGAACACATACCCAAACAGAAATAGAAACAGAAACACAAACACACACTCAGATGCTTATTTGAAACGGCCTAGACCAATGGCTATTAAGTTTGATGTGCTGCTCATTAGCGAGGAACGCTCATCATCATTATAATATACAACGTGGTCAGTGCCCAAAATCATCCCATCTCTCTCAACCCACTTGGCTGCCACCGTACAATTGGCATTGGCAGCTTCAGAAGCTTACACAATTTGCATAAGTCTGTGTGGGTCAAGCGATAAGCCACCAAACTCATTGAATATTCGAATGCTACGCATAATGGTATACTCAATTTTTGGACTTTCACTTGATTGCATTTTGCTGCTGGTGCTGCTGGTGCTGCTGGTGCTGCTGCTGCTGCTGCTGCTACTGTTGCTGTTGCAGCTGCTCCTTTTGCTAAATGCCTGACAAACGTCTCTGAAGAGTCCATTTTGCTAAAAAAATACTTTGACAAACACCCCACATACAGCTCTCCCCCCACCCATGCAGGCCTAGCTGGCTAAGCTAGGCAACCAGCCAGCCAGCCAGCCAGCCGGCCAGCAAACCAGCAAACCGGCTTTGGCTATTTTACATGCCAGCAATTAAATGCTAAATTTTTGCACTTCCAACTTGCCAACTTCCAACATCATGCATCGATTTCTATGCAAAAATTCACTTTTGCGGTTGTGCATTCAAAATTGTGCATGTCATTTGAAATTGTAGCTCGAAAATATGCATGGGAGCAGTGGAAGCGGTGGATGTGGATGTGGATGTGGACAGTATAAGCCGAGCATTTCTGTGGTTGGCTTCAATGTAAACAAATTGGGGTCTGAAATTGCTTAAAAGCTTTTGGCCAGCAAACGATTGAAGATCAATACTTTTTGGAGAGGATTGCATTTTACTTAAAATATGACAAAATATGTGGCCTTGTAAGCGGAATGTTGATTAAACTACTATACAATATTTAGATAGAATATAGTTTATGAGACAATTTTAATATTCAACGATAAGTTGGAATTGCTGTGGAAGTTCAAACCAATTAAGAACGCTACATGGAGACGACATTTTTTCCAGTGTGTCTTATTTCTTCTTGAATTGTTTTCTTTTTCTTTTTTTTTCAACTTGTATTTAATCAAATTAAAAATGCCACTCGCTGCGACTTGTGGAGAATTGTAATTGCTTTTGTTTTGCTGGGGCAAATTGTAAATTATTTAATTGTACAGTTTGCACTTTTCTGTTTTCACTTCGAGTGCCAGGAACAGCAGCAGCAGCAGCAGCAGCAGCAGCAGCAGCAGCAGCAGCAGCAGCAGTAACAAATGCACATGCACATACACGCACACTTGCAACAACAGAAAAATGCAGTGCAACAAACGTGCAGCATGATTTATTAAAAGGGTACGAAGTGTGCAAAAGTTTGCAGGTGAAGGGGGACTCTGCAGTGGACCAACGCATTGAACACACATGTGTGCAGCAGCACCAGCAGCAGCAGCAGTTCGTGCAACAAGCGGCACACATATGTCGTGTACCAGCGCCCATCGCGTCCCCCCTCCCCGCCCCCCTCTCCCTCCACTGACACGAACATTTGTCACATTGCATTTTCCAACATTTTGTTGCAAAGTTTTTCTTGGGTGACTGAAACGGTTTCCATAAATGGTTCTCACGGTTTGGCAATCTTTTTTTTCATACATTTTTTTTTTATTTTGCTGTTACATGCATTGCATTTATTTGGGCTTTTTCGTAGTATTATTTTGTATTCGAGAATTTTCAACGCCGTCGCATTAACACAAAGATACTAAGGCAAAAAATAAAAGAAGTAAAAAATCCAACAGTTTCCACCAACGCAGCAGCCGCTGAAAATTGCACGCTCAGCATGAGTTTTTTTGTATTTTTTATTTTTGTGTTGTGTTGTCTGCGCTAAGCTGCCACCAATTCGTCTTCTTCTTCTTCGTGCCGGTGGTCTACTAACATCAAAAATGTGTGTGCAAGTGTGTGTGTGTGGTTCTCTTTGTTTCTTTTGTTGCGGCACAATTAGCACCGTCCATTCTGTGGACCTCTTAATGCGTTTTACTCTTGTTCCCGTTGTTGTTGTTGATAATTCTTCTTCTAAGTTATTATAGTGTTTTTTATTTTGCAGTTTGTTGTAGTTGTTGTTGTTGTTGTTGTTTTATGTTCGTTGACCACATGCTTTGCGAGTTGGTCGTGTGATAAATGGGCTATCAAAATGTTGCGCTCGCTTGAGAATATTAGACAATCTGTTCAAGTTTTCTACGTTTGTCTGCCCCCCTAAAGCCGCAGATTTTTAATGTGCTGATAATTAGACGGTGTCTCTGGCAGGTGACCAAAGTTTAGTCAGTTGTTTAGAAATGTGTTTTGGCAAACTAAATAGCACAGTTAGATCGTTAAGAGACATTTCAGAGAAATGCCCAAGAAGAGCGATCTGAAAGCGATTCTTAAAGCTTTTTAACTCTATGACTACATATAACATACCTCCGGGAAATCTCTGAGCAGGCTTAGCTGTGAATAATTTATTTTACTATACAGGTTCAGAGATTTGCCAATCTCCTCTCTATTATTCAATTTTCACCTTTCTTTTCACTAATTTATTACAATTGTAAACCTTTGATTTTTCTGCATTTCCCAATTCCTCCTAGCAATAAATCTTCAATCGTTATAAATGTGAATACCTCCAAGCAGTGTTATACCCTTATTTTAAATTAATATTTTATTATTCATTTCTAATTTTATATTATTTAATTTATACACTTTTATTTTAATTTTAACGTAAAGACTCAATTTATATTGTTTTTACCCTTTTTTAAATTTGTGTACGGTTATTAGTCTAAATTAAATAATTTAGTATGTAATTATTATGCATTAAACTTTTTTGAAGTGATATTTATTTTCAAGCAATTCAAAAGAAATAAATTTCAAATTCATAAACACATCATGTGGATATTCTCCCACAAATGATCAAATTTGCACGCTTTCTCCATAAATTTCTGTCAGATTCGGATTTT